ACACAGGGACTCTTCATCAGCGAAAAAATAAGCTACTGGCTCGAACGCATATATTATTATATCATAATTAAAATATATTATATAGGTATGTAGAACACATCAACAAGCGAATTGGATTTCATATGATAATATTATAGATTTTCAACCGAGTTGAGAATCTCTTGAGTTTCACTTGAGATCCATGCAATGAATAAACACGTTATGTACAATTCACGGACATACATAGTATAATAATATTTCGATTCGAATATTATTATTAGGTAGTATAATATAATATAATTTAGCAACGCGTATCTCGACGACCTTGATGGGCCACTGTGGTTGGGTTTTCCGCATAAAAAATGTGAGTTTTTTCTGCGATTCCACGATTCGGAACGGGTTAGGACGGTTAGGTACGTGTAAATGTGTAATAGAAAATATTATTAGACAAACCGGGAGTTCATCGTAATTTTTATATGTACCAATATCCATGGTTACATATTTTTTTTTTCAAATCGCGCCGTCCATACTTGATACTACCTACACAGGCTATACAAAATATACATAGAACATCGCAGGTATTCCTCAAAGCATTCGTACAAAATAATAATATTTGCAATTACGTTTCTGCGTGATAGGCACAAAATAAATAATAATTATAATATGTTATTAGCTTTGAGAGACCTGCAAAAACAACTCGTCGACAAATACAATTATTCGATTTGTGGAGCGTTTTGAGCGCAAACCGCAGTCAAACACGATGTGTATGTGTCTCCCCTGAGGTCTTCTGCTTTTCGAACAATAGTATAATAATTATTTAATTCAATAATAAAAATATATTCGTCGGTTTTAAGGTATCTAATGTTACACTGTCACAGTTGTCCGTGACCCGTGTAAACGGTGTGTTTAAGTGTATAACATACGGTACCATAATAGATAAAAATATTCAATTAGGTACTTCACTCAGTAGCTCAACCAGAATTTTTAAACGAGGGTGGAGGGGTGTTGCGAAATTTTCTTCGTAGTAAACAAAATATATATTTGATAAATTATTTTATATGGCCCAGGGGATGGTCCAGATCGAGAGGCCCTCCCCCTAGGCCCTGGTTGCACCACCTTCTTCCCTGTGTGTCCCTATATGTCTGTGGTTCATAGTTTTTACTGGATTTATACAATTATACTTTATCTAGGTTCATATTTTTTTTTCATATCACACCGTTGACACTCGATAGTGTATATAGACGTATAGTATATAGAACAAGGAGGTATTTCATTAAAAGTAGGTAGGTACACACTAATAACATATTATTGGGGCAATTATGATTTATGTTTATACGTAATAAATCCATTTCGATTTGCGGAGCGTTTTGGGTACGGTTCGCAGTGACAAACGCGATAATCCATTGATCCCCCTTGTGGTTTTCTGATTTTTGATCCATAGTATAATAAATATTTAGTTTCAAAATGAAAAGATTTTTGTCGGTTTAACGTGGCCACTAATTACTATTACACTGTTGTCACTCGTCGTTTACCGTGTAAACCGTGTTAGCATAATAGTCCATAATATACCAAATGGCGAATAATTGAAAACATTCAACTACATCACTGTGTGGTCATGTGGCTTATAATTATTGTTATATAGTTACCTGGCTACCTACCTCGGTGGCTAATGGCTATAGGCATAATATGTATATTTTATTTTATCAAATAGCTCTTTCCTCACTCGTTATAGTATACAAATATAAAATACATATAATATAGAACAACGAGCAGGCATTCCGTACAAAGCGTTCCAACACAATAATAATATATGCAATTATATGCTTATGCGCAATGGGCACAAAATAAATAATTACCTATAATATATTATCACCGACAAGCGACTGAGCAACAACAGTGCGTCGTCGATTAATACACATTTCTATATGTGAAGCGTTTCGCGCGCGCGAACCGCTGAAGTCACCCACTCCTAATCACTCAGCAGTTTTATGCTTTTCGCGGCTAGATAAATAATTATAAACATAATATTAATAATTGTTTAATAAAAAGATTTTCTATGGTTTATTGAGCTTTTTATCTAGCAGTAGTGGCGTTTATCAGATGCAATTTAAGAACTTGTGATGTTTATAAATTATAATATACGCTGCACATGGTTGGCATTTTCGGCGACCGACCGCGCAACAATTATGATCGCCGATCGTCGGTAAAAAAATGCATAAAAATGTCGCTCGCCCGAGAAAACTTCACTGTGCACAATAATGTATGGTGCCGCCGCCCGCCGTGTCGGTGTTCTAATAATCGTGTCCTCGTATAGTTATAGACGTGTTTTCATTTGAATACAAATTTTCCTATTGTAAGACACACACGCGCGCACACACACACATCACGGCTCAATAATAAACATAATTCATGCTCTAAATTGAAAATAATATGATGTTCGATATCATAATATTTGAAAAACTATTAATAATAATTCATAATCGTATGAATGTATGATGCACATTGGCCGCCGCCCCCTTTACAAGTAGTACGCGCAGCACGCGTATACCGGATTACAGATAAGTAATAAATAATAATATATTATAATAATAATAACTATAATATTCGGATTACAACGTCGTTTTCAAACTATGAAAAGTATTAACAGCAATGATAATAATAATATGTAAAAGCGGTACGGCAGCGAAACAAATTTTGAAGTGTTATATTGCGCGGATGGAGCTTGGGGGGGGGCTAAGTGACGTGATGCGGTTACGCTCGCGTAACCGAACCACGTACTACGTACATATTATTATACGTTTTTGACATTGTTATTGTTGTGAATACATTATAAAATATAATTAGTAATTAAAATGAAAAATATTGAAAACGTGCAGCGACGACGACCGTTTTATTCTTTTTGCATCGAATGCGCCAATTACATTCAGTCTTTGCGCATTTGAAACCTGAAAATACAGTATAGTGTATACGAACACAACGATGATAAATTACGTCGCCGACACTCGACCACCCATTTGGGTGATGTGTACCCCAACCTCACTCCACTCTCGACTCACGCCGGCCACACGACCTATTGCTCGCAAAATGTAAACTTTGAAGTTTTTTCTATTTTCGTACGCTAGCGTGGGCAAGACGCGCGTAGCAACTTGCGAGTTGCGATCGTCGTCTGCCGTCGGGCGTCGGCGTGCCGAGATCGACCACAAACATTCGCCAATACATCACCATGACAAACATATTATTATAGTATAAGCATTTGGAAATATTGTAAACGTGCGTGCTGAATTTAATAATCGAATCATGATCACTTCATTTGGTTAAAGGCTTAAACAGCCATGCTAACGTCTTTCTGACCTGACAATTTAACTGGAAACTGTTTTTTTTGTAGAATCTCTTTCATATCGTGAACCTGATTAATTTAAGGGAACTTTCCAAAAAAACTACTCTCGATCACGTCATGTCCGTAACTGTTTTAAACACGCCTTAACTCTCCCAAGTCCGCTGGACGAATGGACGCATTCGTACGAAAAGCGCGGCGGCGTTTGGAACGTTTGGATAATTGATAATTAAATATTGACAATTTGATAAAACAAAATAATAATAATAATAATAATAATCATATTATATTAGACGATGCGCGCAGAGGATGAAAAAAAAAATGAAATTAGTAATCGCGCAAGTGTTCGAAGGGCATAACGCAAAAAAAACGTCGACGGCGTAGATCGTATAAGTGTCAGAGGAGGGCGGCCGCGGCCCGCGGCATCGGCGGCGGTGCGCCTGTGCCACGGGTCGATTGTTGGCGGCGGTGTACGACGAGCGCCTCCCTCCCACGACCCCCGCCCGTACATTGCTACACGCTAGAGTGTACGGCGTGCGCGGCGGTGACGGACGACGACGACGATCGTGACGGAGGCGGCGGCATGTTCGGTTGTGGTAGTGGTCGGCGGCGGTGAGGGCGCGGTGTTAGTCGGCGCGGCCACCGTGTTCCTGTTTTGATGACGCAGAATTCCGTGCGCGCCGCCCGCACCCCACTCCACCGTCAGACGTCATTTGACGTGGCTGCTACGTAGCACTCGCTCGGGCCAGTCGGATCGCAGGACCAAGCTCTCGTACGACGTAACATTGTGACTGCTGGTAAGTAACGGCGGCGGGCTTACGGGGCCGCGCGCTCGCTATATACCTTGTTGTGTTGTCATCACTCCCGTGTGTCTCCTCCGTACCTATCTCTCTCACCGCCGCCGCCGTCGACGCCGCTGTCCGACGTCCGTCCGCGTCGTTATTATTATTTTATCGTTTACGTTAACGCTCGCTGTCACTGGTCTTGTTACGATTTACCCGTTTGATTAATATTATTATCGTTACTCGTCGTTTGCGGTTCCGTCCGGCCCAAATCACAGACACCGGCGACGACACTTCCGCCGAATCGTACTCTTCCGCCACAGTCGTACGACATTTTTTTCGATTTATGATAATAATTTATAATAATATTCACAATGTCGTTCTCCTCGCTATGTCCGTCCACGGCTATCCTGCGACGATACGGCCGGCGAAGATCACAATACTACGACGACCGGCCCGCGAAATTTTACAACCGTCCGTGCGTGTTATCACCACCGTCGTTGTCGTCGTTACATTATTATTATTATTATTGTCGAGAGGTTTTATTTATTTTTGTTGTTTACTCCTACCCGAGCAGACTACGGACGGAGCCGATGCCGGATACCCGCGGAGACTATCCGGCGACGTCAGAAAACCAATTTAAATATCGTAAACAAACCGAATGTATTTTTTTTTCATTTCTCGTGGCCACCGGTGGTCGGACGCCGGACGACGCGATCGTATTAATTGTAACACCTATTTTTGTGTATTCACTTACTCGCGAGAGACAATCGTCCGTGCACTTTCGTGATAGTGTAGGCTTTTGCACCGCCACCTTGACTTAACAGTTAGTCAGTGCCATGATCAAGTGTTGTTTTATTCGTTTGCGTAGGACGTAACGACGATCCGATCGTGTTATGGACGGTATGGTAGAAGAAAATGGGACCGGCGGTTCAGTTGACGCCCTCGTCTCGCAGGGTACTGGCAGTCCTATCGTTGTCACGTCGGTAAGTCATCGACGTCAAACTGCATTGTTTGTCTATACTTGTGTTTATCTTTCTCACATCGGTAAATAACTGTCGACAGGTGCACTCAGTCATCCAGGCGAACCAACAGTCAGTCATCCAGACTGCAACGCAAGGTACCATGCTCACCAAAGGCAATGTTATATTGTTAAGCAAGCCGAATTCAGTTATACAAACCCCTCAAGGAAATATACAAACTCTTCAGGTAGTAGTATATTTTTATATTGTCCAATTAACATTAATAATTATCATTTGTTCCTATTGAAATGTTGCAAATCGAGTGTGCTCATATAAGACTTGTATTTATTATTTTATTATCTGTTGGCCTTATTACAATATTATATAATTGCATTTCTTATTACTTTTCAAGGTTGTTGAAGCTGGTAGTGATGAAAGCTTATCGGCAAACGAGGATAGCCCCAAAAGAGTACGCCACGATGCTTTAACGAGAAGGCCGTCTTATCGGAAGATCTTGAATGATATCGCAGGTTGTTTGATCTATCCGCGTGTTGTATGTTTCCAAACATTTTAAATAATTACTATTACATTTTCCGTTTAGGCGGAAAAGTTGAATCATCCGGTTCAGATTGTGATTCAAATCTTGACAGTGAATTATCTTCAAATTCATTGTCTGCTCATTACCAAACTAGTGAGTTAATGTATTTATAACAACTTAATAATATAGGTAGTGTAAATTGAATTAGTTGGGTTTTAATTTCCTATAAGATGACAGGCAACAGCCTCAAAACATTTACTTTTTGTACCTCCAAATAAACACAGAAATTAATATTGTTCGACAAATGTGAAATTGTCATAAGTAATAAATATGTTTAGTGTGTAGTAAATAATAATAATATAAATCTTCAGACCTACAGTATACAATAAATGTATAGAAGACCATGTATAGTGGACAAAGTAATTAATCAATTTTTTAAATCATGTTTAAATATTTTTTCAAACGATTCAATTATTTAATAAACAGCTAGTTGACAGTACACATTTATCTACTTAAATTATATACTGTTATTAAAATCGATATCACTGATTTTGTTGAAGTTAATTATAACAGTTAAAAATGTTAACTTTTATTATTGTCATTTTGGAGTGGAATGGTAAACTGTTTTAAAAACATTCCATTATATCGTATTACTAAATAGCCTCGAAAATAGCAGACATTATTACATTAAAATGTTGTGTATGCTACAACTACGGGTATGTTATCACTAATCAGTTATCATATTAAATTAAAAGAGATAATTACAGGCTAAACACAATTATGAATGCCATCGTATTAATAGGTTAAGAAATTGTAAACAAGTATTTATTATTAACATACAGAATCCTGAATAACTATATTATTATACAGTTATTTGCTCACTCCGAATTTGAAACTATATTTTATATAAATACTGTACATATTGTATAATATACAAATATATCATGCATGGTTAATAATAATAAGTGATCTTATACAGAGTACAGACATTAGTAACATAAAAAAAAAATGTTTAAATTACCTTCCTATAATAAGGGTTCTGATTTTATGATAAATAACAACAACAAAAACACTTCAAATATGAAGAAAACCAAAAAATAAATGTTTCTACCTATTAATTCTGTTGGTTGACGACTTAAAACTGACAAACAATCCAACCATTAAAAACACAATTTAATAGTAGGTTCTATACTTTATAGCCTATGAGTACTATGTTATACGTAACAATACTGTTATATGTATAATGTACACAATAAGTCTTAGTGAGCTCTTTAATAGTTATGTATTTTTAGCAATTAGCATAGAATTTTGAACCACTGGTATATGTTTTAATAACTGTTGTTTATATTTTAGTTCCTCCAGCAATTCAGTTAAATAGCCAAGGTGAAATGCATAATATACCAACATTAACAATGTCAAATGCAACTTCCACTGGTGGTGGTACTATATTGCAGTATGCGAGTCAGGATGGACAATTTTTTGTACCTGGTAAATTTGTTATATTCAATACTAAAAGTCTAAATTAACACTTTTTAAATATGTATTATAAATATTTTTTAGTTGTTACCCAAGGAGGGAGTTCCACTTTAAATACAAGTTCTTTGGTACCTGAAGACCAAGTTAAAAAACGTGAAATGAGGCTATTAAAAAATAGGTAATTAATTTTATAAGCTAAGAGTACCCCACAATATGATTTCGTGGACAACATTGTATAACGTATATAAATTATTATTGGTTGATTAGTACTTTTGGTACTGGTCCAATACTCCAATGTGCTTGTGGCTTACACTAAATTATTCATAATGAAATTTGTATATACGTTTTAACAGTCATATTCTAAGTAGCCAAATTGTGATCGTGTAATTTATGTTGTCAAAGCAACTCTCATGTTAATAATATCTCTAATGATCAAATTTAGTTTGCTTGTTTTGGCGAAGTGATCACCGATACTCCTTTTTAAGTATGGTGATTATAATTAAGTGGATACACCATTTAATCTTATTTTTTTTTATTATTATTAATTAACCTGCGAAAACAGGCTATTGGGTGAAGGTTTTTTTTTTTTGTGGGGAGGGTACGGTTGGTTTGAAGTTTGAACACGTGCAAGTATATGTCAATAAAACTCCGGGTAGTCCCATATCCGGGAAATAGTAACACCAGCCGGTGCTGGCACTGAAGACAACCACTACAGTCTTCATTATTCAGGAATTTGGTGTAACTATTATTATTATAATTTTGTGTTGGTAGGTAAATACATTTCAGACTTGTGAAAGTTAATCTCACATTTTTTCATCCTTCTCGAATAATATTTCAATTAAGTTATCCTGATGGTACCCATTAATATTATAAAAAATCACTAAAATAAAGGGGCATGTACTAATGTCTATTCGTATATCGTAATAGTTAGGTCAAACTTTGGACTCGTACCATATTTTTAATATCTATTATATAGTAATAATAACACCTCGGACTATTCAGTATTTTATAAATATTATGAATGTTTGGTTGGCATCCGCATAAGATTATTATTGATGTATAAAATAAATTTACATCGAATTATCACATTCTCCAGTTTAGTTAGGGAAAATACGGTTTGACTGCAAAAATCTAGTGTTAGGTAATACTTCTAATTATTTTAAAACACAAAAATTGACTAAAAATGTGTTATCTTGTTCAATATATTATGGCTAAAGTAATTTATGCTTTACATTATTTTGCAGAGAAGCAGCAAGAGAATGTAGACGAAAAAAGAAAGAATATATTAAATGCTTGGAAAACCGAGTATCTGTATTAGAAAATCAGAATAAAGCACTAATTGAAGAGTTAAAAGCGCTAAAAGAACTTTATTGCCAAACAAAGACTGAATAGAAATAGTTTTTGAATCTTCAAATTTAAGAGAAAAAACAAAGTACCAGTCATGACCAAAATTGCATGCTTAAAGTGATATTTTCAAAAATCTTGTAAGCTCATTTTAACTTATATAATATGTTTTAATCTTTTGGTTATGTTTGGAATTACGTAATTTTTAAAAATGGTTTATTTTTGTTATATCCAAGAAATTAGTAAAAGGGTCAATTGTGCAGTTAAATGAGTGGCCAATTCCGTGTAAACGATTATTTTAGTGCATAATTGTCTATACATGACATCACAGTAATTTTTTTTTAATATTTTCAACGAATTCATGAGCTTTTTGTATTATCTAAGCAGTGACATAATTTTATATTCTAGTGAAATTTGAAACTAAAAAAAAATAGATTCTTTTCACAATTAGTATTGGCTAACTTTTTTTAAGTGTCAATCAAAAGAATTTATGCTGTAATTAATGGGGTTTGTTCTAAATTTAAATTATTTTTTTCCTTAAATGTACTATCCAGGTTTGGTTATGATAAATGAAATGGACTATTTTTTTAAACATAAAATTCTCAAAATATTAAGTTACCTGTATCATTGATTAGATATATATGTATATTTAATCAATGCCTGTATGGTTATTTCGATTTAAGATAATATATAGATAGGTTGGTTTATTTTATGTACTCAGATGTATTTACCATTTTTTAAGCATTGATATTTGCCATAATTTTATTTTATAACCATCAATTCATGAGTGTTACAGTTTGTTGAAAAAAATGGTGTTAATAAATAATATTTTACAGGGGAAACAAAATTAATGTTTCAAAAATAGAGATTGATTTTTTATTATTTAAATGCTTTTATTAATTTATAGAGTAAAAGTAAGGTTTAATTAATACTTAAAACATTATGCTGAAACAGCCTAAACAGCGTTAATGTTTCACAGAAATGAGACTAAAATTGATTGCTTACTTCCAAGTTTACTGAAACTTTTTTTCATCTAATTAAAACATGAATAATTCTATAAATTAGTTGAAAATTAACCCCTGTTTGATGTTAATATTGGAATTGACTACCATTTATCATTTAACAAAAGTTGAAGACCTCTTTTGTGTATACATATTCTATATAATATATAATATATCTCGGTATAATTGTTAAAACGGAACAATAAAATATTTTGGTAGAAATTAGATATTTTTAATTTGTTTAGTGTATATAGTTATTTTAAATTTGTTTTATTATTATTATTTTTAAATGTAAATTGAGCATAAACATGTAATTTTTTTAATGTAAATTTGTTGTCTATTAGAAAAAGATTATTTATGAATATATTATGAATTTGTTAAATATTGTGTATGGTGTATAATCGATAATCATGTTTCATGTATATATTTATATATAATATGATAATGATAAATATTTTTAATACTATTTTGATAAAAAAAAAACCGTTGAAATTTAAAATGGATACATTGTGTTTAACTGTTTATATAAATGTAGACTAGATGGTTGAACTTCTTTAATCTGAACTCTGAAAATAAACCAAAGATAAAGAAGCTATTCACCAATTTTTTTACCACACAAATTTTTGATTATTTTAGATTTGTTAAATAGATGACTAATTTATATTATAATTTATTCTTTGTTTATTTTGTTATTCTTAATTTGTTTAAATCTTTGTTCAGATAAAGGGTTAATGTTGTTATGGTATATCTACTTATTAACTTGTATAATTATTATTTTTATAATCCTATTTGGTTTTATTGGTATTTTTTTTCCTTGGTTCACGGGAAATCTAATTTTCAACGGCAAGGGTGAACGCAAGAGGAAGGAGTTAATTCTCATGGAAATATCTGGAAAACTAAAAAAAAATATGTCCCATAAGAATAAAATTAATTTACATTTTATAAAACTTATCTCTGCGTTTGCCCCTGTCAAATGGAATTAAAATTCTATATCGACTGTAATCGTTTTTTTTTTAAATTTTAATTGTATATTAATCGAAAACCAATTTAGTTGGTGTGTATAAATATCATGATTTATGAATTAAGATATCCTACTATAAAGTTATATTAAATCATGATAAATATTCATTTTCTGATCATTGGTATGGATCATACACTAATATTACTCTATGTCTTATGGTATGGATAAACATATCAATATATTATGATATATCATTCATTTTACACAATAATATGTAGTATATACCTATGTAAGTCACATAATATGTGGATATACATATATATTATAATATATTTGTTATCCCAATGTAGCTCAATTATATTTTATAGCACTTTCATCTGAATAAATCATATTATAATTATATGTTGCCGGAAATATGTATAAGCATTATAACATAATTTTTGAATGTATAAACATGATAATCTACTGGGACTCAATGATGAAAACATCTGTTCTTCCATTGCTTATTGTTTTAAATATGGTTGTTTCATTGAAAAGGATAATGATAAGGAACAAATCTGGTTTAGGTGAATTTTTCGGAAACCTATGTATTTCAACTAGTTAAGAAAGATGATGCGTAATATGCGTTCAGAATTTGTCGGTCGAAATCAGTTATATGAACTCAATAAAGTTCGAGATTTTTGTGATTTTTAAACATTAATACATCACATAACGCTCAAGTTTACCACTCTTTTAATTACCTTTATACTATATCAAGCTATAATAACTGTTTTTGCTATTATCTTCAGTCTTCGGGTAGTGAGTACCTAAATTGAAACCTTGCCCTCGGCCTGTAGTTAAAAGTATGATACTATGATAGGTAAACAGTCACTCGCTACGCCTACCCACTCCGATCGTCGCTCTTCAATATTATATATTTTCATCATTTATCGTAACTACTTATAAGATAATGTTAATATTCATACCTTATAATATAATATTTACTATTATATCCTATAATATGCCGTATATAGACATATAGTGTAGTAGTGTACTCAATTCAATTGTATTTTATAAATATTTAGGTAGGTACCTGTGTTGAAAAAGTCATTGTGTATGGCTATGTATAATAAAATACGTAAGAGTTTCAAATCTCCAGGAAAAATATATTTAAATTTCAGCAAAATAACTGTAACATTTAAATAGGTACCTATCTAATTTCGTCTTACTTTTATCTTGGAATAATTATATATATTGTGATTAATGATTACCAATCATATTTGTTTAGATTTTTTGTTTCCAGTAATTACTACTTATGAGTTATGAGGAAAATAGTACCTATTAAGTATTTAAGCTTTTTGACCGAATTGTCATAGAGAAAAAATATCAAATGTCTACAAACAGCTAAAAAAGAGTCAAAATATTTTGAAAATTACACCTCGCATACAAAATGTGAAACATTTCGTGAAAAATTCAAATAGGTACCTATCTAAAGTTATTCGTTTTTCAATAACAACAAAACCAAAGCTGGGCAAGTTACTCAAGTTAGTCACTTTTTTCAACTAGTTAAAGTTAAGTTACTACCTACTTTAATATAAAAATTAACTAAGTTAAAATATAAGTTAGTTTCTGAAATTTACCAAATTTCTAACTTAGTAAGAAATTAGTTTGGTGAAATAGTAACTGAAGGTAGAGTAGAAAAATTAGGAATTATTTATTTTTTTAGTTTAAAATATCAATTTACAAAACCATTTTTCCGAATTTAATTAGTATTACATAAATTAATTAGTAAGTAGGTAGGTATGTAACTAACTTGATTTATTGGTGATGAATGAAAAATAAAATTGAACAACCATCAACTGAGAATTTCTTGGAATATCAGTCATTAGAATATAGAAAGTTAAATTAATTAAGAAATTCATAAATGAAAAAAATGGCTAGTTATATAGGTACTTATTATTTTTAACGAGTTAGATTAAATTATTTTACACATTAATTTAACTAGTTAAGGGGACGTTACAGCGACATTTGTTGTCTCTGTCTTACAAGTGCGTAACATAGCAAGTTTTACGCTCAGCATAACACGTTTATCTCCATTAGTTAAAACAATTAGACCGAATTGATCTCTTATAAAGTTTAAAGGTAAGACTATTATCTATACAATGACATAGGCTTTTTATTATATTTTAATTTTAAAGCGAGTTATGTGTATTTTACAGTTATAATTTTATAAACTGTTAGTACATCTTAAAATACTCATAACTTGCTTTAAAATTAAAATATAATAACAAGCCTATGTCGTTCGTTGTCTATATAATAATCTTATCTTTACATTTTATAAAAGGTAAATTCGCTCTAATTTTCAAACAAACGGAGATAAACATGTTCTGCTGAGTGTAGAATTTGCTATGTTACGCACTTGTAAGACGGAGACATTGAGACAAAAAATGTCACGGCCCCTATAATGATATTCAAGCTATCGACTTCAATATTCTTCGCTGCTAGTATTGCCCGTTCACTAATTCAATCGATATTTTTATAATTTTTTGCAATACCGGGGAACACTTAGATGATGAATTCCTCCTTCGACGATTTGAACTCACAAACATTTTTCGGGAACGATATCAATCCAGTTGAAACATCAACAGGAATCTGGCCATTGCCAAGCGCCAAAAGTTGTCTCGAGAATTCAGCAGCCGATGGATCGTTCTGCATCTCGACTCTCATCAGATGCATGTTTGTGGTCAATCTCAACATCTTGACATGCCGCCACAAATTCGACGATTTCAGGCATGCATTAAGTTCATCAGCAGCAGTAGATTTTGGGATGACGGGAAGCCTTTGACGAAAATCTTCGGAGAACAATATCATAGCCCCACCGCCCCCACCAAATCGTCTCGAATCACCTCGTAGATCCTTCATCGTACTGTCAACCATAGGCGTGCGCAGACTTTTCGCAGAGTATGCCGGTATTACCTTTTTTTTTTTTTTTTTTTTTTTTTTTTGATTTGATAAACCATTTATTAAATAAATTAAAAATACTAGTACAATTAGTATACTAAATAAACATTTTAAAAAACATTATGGTTTAGCTACCTTCTTTAAGC